GGCATGGGTGGGGGCGAGACAGCCTAGGGCTGGACTGACTCCACCACCCGAGGATCATGGCTATGTGAGAGGGCGGTCACGAGTGGGTGCGTTGACCGTGGGCAATGTGTTACAATGGCGACTCAGCGCAGCAGGCAAGAGCCAAATCACGACAGAGCACGATATGACGAACGCATTCGCCAGCGTCACGCACCACCACCTCGATGACACGGTCCAGCAGCTGTACCAGCCTGAGGATGTGGAGATTATGGTAATAAGACATCGGAACACAGCGTGCGTGGTCGACGCTTGCGATGGCACGGGTGTATTTCTGAATCGAGTGGGTTGTTTCATGGGTGACGCAGACGCAGCCACGAAGTTTAGGCTGGCTTTTGAGACGCCGACGGCTGAGTGGAGGAGAGATCTCTCCCCCACGACGTCGGTCCACGAGCTGACAGCAGGGTGCGCAGTCACTCAAGAAGTGTGCGATCTGGGCGTGAGGAAGTATGCTGATGACCTCACATGTACACATATTGCCCCAGATGCGCGCAGTGCAGCTCGACGAGTGGAAGTTTCAGATCAATACCTTGATGCTGCACTGGGACGGGTTGGCCTCGCCCAGAGCCGTGAGAAAAAAAGCTGTTAGCCCATGTTTCGTGGGAAAAGGGGCTCAGAGGTCTGCAAGGGCCCTGCACTACCACAAGGTCGCCATCTCGGGTGAGGTCCAGGCGACCTCGGTGTTCTTGGGAGCTCATACGCAGTCTTCGGAGAGGAACGACGAGGAGATCCGAGCTAGATGCGCGGCGATCCGAGTGGGCTGGCGAGGAATGGGGAAGTTCTGGAAGACCTGTCAGAATTTCAATCGGAGGCGTCTGGTGTTTCGGGCTCGACTTATAGGAGCGGCACTGGCGGGACTTGAAGCACGGATTTTGACAGAGGAGCAGGTCAGGCGCCTTGACTCGGTGGCTACGCGCTATGCTGCTGCGCTGTGCAACGGGGTAGCGGTCTATCGCAGGCTGAACGAGGGTGAGATGGAGGAGGGAGGCGAAGCTGCGGAGGCCAGGTGGAAGGTGACGACGGTGTGTGCGGAAGCCGTGTGGAAGCGCATCGCGATAGTACCCCCCAGCGTGAACTTGGGATCCGACGGCTCCGCCACTTTCAAACTCTCGTCCGCAATCCCCAACGGCATGTTCAGGAGCTCGCGGCTGTATTCGGGAAAGTCACTTTCGAGAACCCAGAGATCCAGACTTCTGCTTGGGCGCCACCGTGTGCCCCGACCATCGCCCCAAAGGATCGCACGAACCCCTGGGCCCTGCAGTACAAGAACGACATGTTTCTTCTTGGGAAACTCCAAGGGGGCCTGGATTTCCTGGAGACGGTGGGGGACGATCACAGGAAGGTTTTCCTGGACGCAGATATGAAACAGCAGTTTCTCAAGTTAGATGTAGCGAAGCTCCGCAAGGCCTGGCTTGAGCGCCCCACAATTACTCCCACGAGGCCGTACGAGGATCAGGAGTGCTTCGAGGGCGGTTTTCTGTGTTCGCTGATCGACGAGGAGGGTCTGGAATGCAACCGTAGGTTTCGTACAATGGCGGCGCTACGTGCGCATCAGACACACACAGGCGGAGGGGAGCACGGAAAACTGAACTTCTTCACGAGATTGACAGTGACGAACCAGTGTCCTTCGTGTTTGTCATCGTTCGCTTGCCGCCGCACTGCTATCAACCACATCGCTGCTGCCTATCGGCATGGACGATGCATCGCTGACTTCTCGGTGTTCAATCATGCTGTCATCGCTCCGCTGCTGTTTGAGTGCCCAGAAACAGAATGTGGCCAAGATTTCGATGATCTCCAAGCCCTGCAGCACCACATTCGCACTACTCATCTTCCTCAACCTCGGCCGCATGTCGTGGATGCAGGGGCTGCCCGAGATAGCCGAGGGCGACGCCGAAGGACGGCCGAGGAAGTCAGCCAAGGGAGGGCGCAAGGGCGGCCCCCAGACCGCCAAGGCGGCCAATGCTGCAGGCAAGGGCGGCGGCAACGAGAAGGCGCCGAGGAAGGACACGAAGCTGGTGGACCTCAGCGAGCTCGACGGCGACGAGATAGAGGTGTCGACCATGCAGAAGTTCTTTCCCGTGATGATGCGCTTGCTGCTGAACTTGGCGCACCGCCAGAGGCAGATCGAGTCGATCGAGCTGAAGACGTTCCTCATGTCGTCAGGGCTGCAGCCAGCGGTCAAGGCGCGGGGACGAGTGCGAGCGTGGATTCGTGCCGCCGAGGAGATCCGTGCAGGCAACGACAAGGAGCAGGGCCAAGTGAAGATCAAGCAGATGGGTACGATCTCAGTGGCATGCTTCGCGGGAGTGTTCGAGGGACTGCTGGCAGAGGGAAGCGCGGTGGGCCGCGCGAACCAGCAGCAACTCAGCACTCTGAAGGAAGAACTAGCGAAGCTGACCGTACACGAGATGGGCGAAGTTGTACCGATGGCGAAGCTCTCAGACTGCTACGAGGAGGGCAAGGTGAAGCTAGTGCTGTCGTTCGGGAGCCGTGTGAACATGACCCCCGTGCTGGAGGCCCTAGTCCAGGCAGGGGCAGACTACAAACAGGGGATGGCCCCGATAGGCCACTTAGAGAGGCTGATCCACACGGGCCTGCACGAGATCGAAGGAGGCATGATGGACTAGGCCGCACAGAGTCACCAGATGCAGGACCACGGCGCGAGGGACCAGAGGAGAAACGACGACGTCAGGATGCCGTGGTGAGAAGGCTTTGTGAGGCTGCACGTGAGGCCCCGGTGACCCCTCCCCCCTCCTTGCAAATTCCGCTGAACCTCTACCCCTGTGCCCGACAGGCTGCCAGTAGGACTCTGGAGACCCCCACCCTTTCCTCTCGGCCTGACGAGCCCCCTCGCACCTGCCTCACCCCCGCTCGTCGGCTCCAGGGGGTACCGCCACGCCCTGTTGAGACCCAGAGACCTTTGCGGCCTAGGAGGCCCCACACGGACCCTGGGGCGCGTGTTGTTTCTGGAGGCGCGTCGAGGGACCAGGGTGGAGCCCGACAGGGCTCTAGGTTTTCTGAGCGCTTTAGCTAGGCTGACCAGTCAGCCGTGCTTCGACTTCTAGCGGGGGCATCGCGGTAACTACTGTACGTAGTAGTGTGCCGCGAGATGCGTGGTCGCACATCGCATACTTAAGCTCGGGCTTAGCCCGATCCTCGAGGCGTTCGGGCACGTGGGAGAGACGGGGCCGCCTCCAATGGGTTCTAATCTAATCTAATCATCATCATCATCATCATCATCATCATCATCATCATCATCATCATCATCATCATCATCAGCATCATCATCATCATCATCATCATCATCATCATCATCATCATCATCATCATCAGCAGCAGCAGCATCATCAGCATCATCATCACCACCACCACCGCCACCTTCCTTGGGAACCGCATCACGGGCTGCCAGTTCAAACCTCCAGGAGAGAAAACCATCGACATAACATCACAGTCCGCGGCGGCCACGGCAAGCGGGCGACAGGCACTGGGAGAGCAAGACGGGGGAGAAGCAAGAACGAGGCGGGGGAGAAGCATCTCTCGCATAGCGGCAGGGAGCCCTCCTACAGCCCCGACCCCCCTCCTCCCAAAGAGGAGGCGGCAAAAAATCGCGGAGGATGGCGATGGGAGCGGGGGATGCCCAGCAGGAATGCACAATACCACCAGGCACTGGCATGGAGTCTTTCTGGCCGCGAACCATACTCTCGAAATCAAAATCCGTGAGCCACTGATCCTCCGCGGACCCTGAAACGCCAACCACGCGGCCCCCAAAGGGTCAGGCCAGCAGGTGCCATCGACTTCCTGGGCCCCGGGAATACCGCACCCGTGCCACGCAGGCGCCTCCCCACATAGAGGAAAAAGAACTATGCACATACACCGATTCTGGCCAGGCCCATCCTGAGCCCAGGATCGGTGCATACGCCCTTTTACCTTGGCCAGGAAGGTATATGCACCGATCCTGGGTCAAGAAATGGACGTTGTCAGGATCGGTGCATGTGCATAGCTCTCTTCGCCCGACCCACAGCCACCCATGGGACGGGCACGGGGCCCCCCGCTGGAGCCCAGGATCGAGACCACCGAGACCCGCATGCTCACCGCTCTCGTCGCCGCTGCACCCCGGCCCGCCGCGCGTGCTCCGCGGCCCCGGGACGGAGGGATCGAAAGCGGCCCCGGAAGGGCACGCAGACCGATCGAACCGGAACGAGCCAACGCGGCCGACTGCGAAGCGGCCGAGCCGACCGAAGCGCGGAAGGACCGCATCGCCACGCGTGGCCGCACACGGAGCGAGCTCCCAGCAGCCAGAGCCACCCAGCGGGGAACCGAGAGGGGGTCACAACGACGCGCTCATCTGGCCACTGCTCCCTTTTTCATCACGAAGGATGCGCGCACCTCTCGCACGTACTCCGTGATGGCCGTGAATTGCGAGGCACTCGGAGGTGACTGCCAGCCGTGGCGTCAGGGGGCAAAGGTCAGCATGAAGGAAGCTGGTCGTGAGGGAAACGGGTCCTGGACCCCGGCATTCCCCCCGGGATCAGCACTTCATCCTCAATCCTTCAAGAGAACCCTGAATCGAATCGAAAAGTCGGAACCGCGACGGATATGAATCGGATCGGCGAAAGTCGGCAGCCACGTCGGGAGACGTCGAATCGGCGGGAATCGGCAGGCTAGCAAGGGATCCGTTGAGAAGACGAAGTCCAAATCGGAATCCAAAGTCGCAACTGAACCGAAATCGAAGTCGATCGACATCGCATCGAGTCGAGCGGGAGGAGTCGAAACGAGCAATCGAGATCCTTCCTGTACGGCCCTGGCAGCGCGAGAGCGGCGAAGAGCCTCGAAGGGCCCGTCTGCCTCGTCCTGGTTCCCCTTCGGGGAGGCGCCTGCCACGACGGGCAACCCACATCAGAGGGACGCACGATGGGGATGCGAGGGCTGCAAGGGCCTTGGAAGGCCGTGTCGACCCTTTGCGTGCGGGGCGCGGCCAGCGAAAGCGGCCGAAGACGGGCCGAGGGGCAAGGATGCCAGGGGAACCTTGGGAAGTGGGCCCATCCCTGCCGTGCGGGCTGCCGCTGCTCCGCATCCAAAAGCACCCCACTCCCCCGACGGGACTGGCCGCCAACCAGGAGCAACGGGCCCCGAGGGCGGGGGGGTCGGGAGTCGATCCCGGGGGCTGCCCTCGGGGCGCATTCTGGCCAGAGTCCCACCGGCCCTCGGGGCGGAGGCGGTCTGGCGACATCCTTCTTGCCTCCCCCGAGAAGCCTCCTGCCCCTTCGGGGAGGGGGAGCCAGCCGTGGCGTCGGGTCGGCCACGTCCTCCTACAGGAGGATTTTGGAGGAAAAATCAGAAATGGACAGAAAAATATCAAAAAGAGTATATTAATAAAAAAAAGGTCCCCTGATTCTCTGTTTGCCTATTCTTGGGTACTCCTCCTGTAGAGGGACGTGCGCGACTCTGCCCTGGCGACGGGGGGCCTCCCTCCCAGAGAGGCCCACAGGGGAGGACGAAGAGCTGCCGCCGACACCTCGGGCCAGGGCGCGCCTCCCTCGGGACCCGCCCGCCTCGCGGCGAGGGGCGGAGGAGGAGCGAGAGCCAGGGGGAACGACAGGGGAGGGATAGCGGAGGGCAGGGCAGAGGATCGGCTCGCGCAACTGACTTTCCTGGCGCCTCCCGGCGCCGGGGGGCGCCCCGGCGCATCGAGGAATGGGCCCGGCGGCGGGGCCGAAACCAGCTGCATGCAGCAGATTTCGTAAGCCCCCCTTTCCCTATCCCCACCTTTCGTTCGGTCCGAGAGAGGTTGCGTGATGACAGAGCCCTGACCAAAGAGCATGACTGCCCATGTCGGATATCAGCTAAAGTTTTTAGGGCGGCGAGAGCTATACACATCCGCTGCTCCCTGGTCAGGCCCGTGCCGAAGCCAGCAGCTGTGTATACGCCTTCCGGGCCAAGCCAGGAGGGCGTGGCGTATACACCGATGCCGGGTTCAGGTTGGGCGTGGCCAGGGAGCAGTGTATATGTGGAAATCTCGTCGCCCTACAATTCTCTGTCGCTGCATATTATTACTGATGAGCCACGTCTACATCGCACAGCAGGGGGGGGGGGGCTGGGAAGGGGCGTGCCACTCCTTGACAGAGACCTGGCCGCGATGTGTGGCCGCCGAAATCGCCGCGGCGATCTCCAAAACCGACACGGAGGATTAGTTCAGGGCCGGATATCTGGAGGAACGACAATCTGCATGCAGTGGGGGCCCATACCAAGAAATACCCTGCTTACCTTCAGGGTTTCCTGGGTTTCTTGGGTGTCGATGGCTTGGCTGTGGAAGGCGTGACGTTCCCACGCCAAAGAAGCCAATGAACGCCCTGGGGTCTCAGGGTTGGGTTTCTTGCGGAAGGTTTCTTGTGGACGGGCCTCCACTGTAAGTCTATCCTTTCGGAGCTCCGCGCGGATTTCTTGGATCGGCGCTGGACACACCTCCCTGGGGCGCGCAGCGCGCCAGGGGCGCTGCGATGGAGGCAGCCGCCACGCGGGCCCCAGCGCAGGTCCAAGAACGCCGCGAGGAGTTACGACAACGTATGTTTGTTGAGCGACCACGGAGGAGGAGGAGGAGGAGGAGGAGGAGGAGGAGGAAGACGAGGAGGAGGAGGAGGAGGAGAAGGAGGGGGAGATTCTAAGGGAATGTGGGGGTTCACTTCGCTCGGGAGCCCCCGAACGAAGTGATCCCTACCCCCCCTTGGAAATCGTGCGGGGTGGGGGTAGGGTTCACATGTGGTCACCGATTCGTGCTCTGGTGTTTTTTTTTCGAACCTCACCAGCGCCCCTGAACAGCAGGTAGGCTGGGAAGCCGGCCAACACCAGCTCGTACCAGAGGGGTTCAGCACCGATCCAAGAAATCCACGCGAAACCCCACATCTGTGTTCATGCCGCTTGCTTTTCTTCGAATATGAAGGATCCAGTGACGCAGAAATCAAGGGACACAGATCCCCAGATTCCCGACAATTCCCCATATGTCATGGGTGGTCGTTCCCCTTCCCTTTTTCCCATAACTTCCCATATATTCATGGGAATTGACGACTATTTGTGTCCGTGTCCCTTCCCCTTCTGACGTTTGCTTCTCCTCGCGACGCAACAGTGACTGACGACTGACTGACTTTCGCGCGACATCTGACGACGACGACGATGACGACGACGACGACGACGACGACGACGACGACGACGACGACGACGACGTCGCCGTGGTCGAATATCACGCAAAGAGCGAGGCAGGGCGGCGCGATGCGCCCGGTGGGCCAGGCCACACCCAGAACGACTGCGCAGCTGGAAAAACGGCAGCCGCGCGCCGCGGGCATACGGCGGCTTCGGCCGACCCCGACGCGCAGGGGGGGGAGCACGAGGACTGGGGTTGAAGGGAAGAAGGGGGGACTAGAAAAATTGATGTTAGAAGTGGATGGATAAGACGACTGCTGTCTGTATCGGCGCACAGAGAAAGCGTGTACAAGGCGGGAACAAGGCGGGCGAGCTAGGTACGCACCTTGAGCCAAACGCCCAGGGAAGCACCATAGCAAGCCCGACAAGGCAAGGGCGAAAAGGCGGGAATACCATTCGATTCTGGTGCTCAAACGAATCCGTTGTGCCTCGTCGGTCGCCGCGCGCAAACCGCACAATAACGCACGAAGCGGGAAAATTGGCCTCAGATGGGTGCTCTACTGACAGCACCCTACCAACAGCACGGAAGCACGGAGGACTCTACTGACCGCCATTGTCCTAGACAAATGCCTGGATGCTGATGCTCCACCGACACTCGGCGGGAGCAGCACTCACGTCATGATCGACTTCAGGATCGTTCCTGGCCGTGGTTGCCCGCAAAAGTTGGCGATCTGGTGGCTTAATCACACTAGTCGCCCTTCCCCTTGTGGGTGAGACTGCTGCACTGGGAGCTCCAGACAGTTCTTGTTATCACCATCGCTCGGCTTGAAGGCCCATGACGTTGAGAACGAGCTTCCTGCCGATGCTGCCCTCGGTATTAGGGCCAGCCCTCATGCCCCGAGCCTCGCACCAGAGCACGTCTTCGATCTGATTGGCGCGATGCTAATCTGATTACTTTAAAAAGTGACCAGCCATGTCATTTTCAGAATGTGGCCGCACTGGGTCCATGGCCAAAGCACTGACGGGCATGGCGCATCCCCCTCCCCCCCTAAGCCCCCCGATCTCCAGCTGAGGTGGGGCCGCGCACCATCTCGCGCAGCGCGAGGAGGCGCGCCTGCAGGCCGTCTGCCGCATCGCATGCTGCGAGCAGCTCTGAGCCGACTCAGGATATGCACACCAGTCTGTGCGATCGGCCCACGGCGTCTAGCAAGTGGCACACCTGTTTGCAAGTGCGGCGGCACTTGACGAGACGCGTGCACGCGGCCCCTATCCTGCCGCACTCCACGGCCGGGAACGCGACGCGCGCCTTGATCTGCTGCGCGACCAGAGCGACGGAGTTGAACTGCATCGCGCGACGGATAAGCAGCTTGTTCTCGCCCCTCTGCAGGGCGACGATGCCCGCTGCGACGCGGCGCTGAGCGAGCAGCGAGTAAGCTGCTGTTCCCCGGTGAGAGACAAATGTCTGGAAGCTGACATCTGGACAGCTCGCCAACCTTAGCCTTGACCAGAAGGCGCGCCTGATCGGTATCAGAACGTCGATGCACTCGTCCTGGTCGAGCGTCACGGCACCACCTGCACTGCGGCGCTGGCGCACCCCGCAGTCAGTGAAATCGTCGCAGCCACCCGAAAACGCTCTCGATGCGGCCGATGAGCCGGCCAGCATGCCCCTTGCATCCCAGCATCTTCAGATCGTCGACGCGCTCGGACGGCATGGGCACTAGCTCCGAACCGCTGGCACCACAGATCCCAGACGGCCCGCTCCTAACCTCGAGCTCCAGGTCCGACCTGGCGGGCTTGGCGCTGCAATCCGGCGAGCGCGTGAGCCGGGCGAGCTTCATACAGAGGGCTCGGGGCGCGCCCTTGCAGCCTGCGCCTGGTCCGGTGCAGCGCTAGGACACGGTCAGCTCGTCGCAGCTCTCGCCGCCGGGCACTTGCCTGAGGACGCCTGCTCTGCTGGGCGGCAGGGCGAAGTTCACCTCGCAGGGTGCATCACCTTGTTCCTGCATCTCGGCGCAGGTCATGCCCGCCAGGAACGCCCACGACGCCCACGGCGACGCATACACAGTCTGGGCGACACGCCGCCTCCGAGGACAGCATGCGCTGCGACGCCCGCTTCGCCGCCCCAGCGAGCGTCTCCAGAGCCCCAGCGCCCAGGCGCGCAAGCCTCTCTGCGCCGCGCGGCGCCGGATGATCCAGACGGTCTTGCCGCCTGGCCCCTTCCGGCGCTTCCACTCGAGGACGCGTCTGGAGTCCTTGACGCCACGGGCGCCCTTGAGCGGTCGCCTCTCGAAACACTTGCACTAGAACCAGATGGCGAGATCCTCGAGGAGGGCCGCTGCGACTTCTTCTGACAGCCTCGACACCTCCTCGTCGGATAGAAGGTCGGCGTCGCCCTCAATGACCGCGGTCTCGGCGGCGGCATGCACGTCAAGCACGGCCGTCCGGGGAGCGCCAGCGACAGTCACCGGACGCTGCCTCGTCGAAGCTCAGGAATGCTTCACGCAACCCCGGATCAAGATACAACTCCACATGTTCTCCTCGTTCGTCCTCCTCATGTAGCGCGGCGCAGTCGTCCAAGTAGGCCCCGTGCAGGTAGGAATGGCACTTCGCGTGGATGCTCCGACGCTGGCGCTGCGCCTCAGGGCGCCGGAACCACTCGCGGGGCCCGCGGCCAAGACCGGCCGCAGCGTTCTGGGCGGCAACGGAAATTACATGCTGACTGTCGACGCTCTCCAGCTCCCCCAGCTCTGGGGCCACACCTTCTGCCCCCTCGACTTCGCGCCAGGCTACCAACAACACCTGTTGGATGTGGCCGCAGAAGTCGCTGCCGGTCTCCGCGGGCATGGCCGATGGGGCTGATGGGGGTCCTCCCTCTGAGGGGCTGGCAGTGTCCTCGGGAACGTCGATAACACAATCATCGAAAGATCCGTCTGGGTCCTGGTCGTCATCAGCTGCCAGCAACGCCTCGTCACCCAAGGTAAAAAGGATGATGAGAGCGTCCTCCCACAGCTCGCCGGTAAGCAAATGGGCGTCGAACGTGACCCCGTCGAGCTGAAACTGTTGAATGTCACTCGGGCTCTGACAGATTCACCAGATAACCAGGCCAATCGCCCACTGATTTTTGGCCCCGTATCAGACGCATGGCACGCACGTCTGGCAGCTGCAAGCATCCGCGGGACAGGTGGCGCAGACCTTCGAGGATGCCGGGGCGTTGCCGCGACTGCGCGGTGATCTGCATTCCCTTCGCGTCCCAGTGGCCGAAGGTCCTGGCCCGGAACCTGGCACATTGTGATCCAAGAAGTCCCCCACACGGCCCCAGGCCAGGCCGACTCGCGCCAAGCCGGTGGCCACGTCGTCGCAGACGGCACCGATGAAGGCCGGACGTCATGCAGTCTGCAGACCACGTCGGCTCGGCGGAACTTGGCCGCCACCTTGCATCGAGCCCGGTCCACAGACATGACCACCCCAGGGCCCGCCCAGCTCGACGCGCCCTTTGTGC